AATGATTGATGTAAAATGGTTCCTAATATGTGAGAAGGGGTTGTGTGTGCTAGTGGAAAGTTTTATTCGTCTTTACCTGCTTAGTTCTCCAGTGTAATGCTTGCCACATGAATGATGTGGATATTGGTGGTGTCTGTGTTTGTACTTCATTGTGGTGGGTGGTTTTTAAAAAAATCAATACTTTATTTAAGTCATGACAGTATTGAGCAGAGTTCCCATATACCCACACATCCACAAAGTCCTACACCATCCTACACCATAACCAAAGTTGGTGCATTCATATGGGCACATTATCATCACCTATAGTCCATAGTTGACATTAGGATTCCCTCCTAGTGTTGTACATCCTATGGAGTTTTTAGTGGTCATTTTTATGACCTCAAACAGAGTTAGGGATAGGAAATGGTGAAGAGGAAATGATTGAGAATTAAGTGAGAAAGAAGGAAGCTAGTAATGGAAGGAACCATGCACTAGAGGTAAGAATGCGGTGTGCTGGAACATTGTAATGTTTAGTAGGATAAGGAGTGGCAATAGATGTTTCTAGTCACTGCTACCCTCCTAATGGCTTAGTAGGTCACCCTTTGGTTTCTTAGACTGTTTTATCCTTCCTACAGGTGGTGAGGTTAACAACTGTTGGCAACTGCTTAGTCTTTAAAGCAGAAATCACAGTGGCTTGCTAGTTTTGTTTTCATTGTTTTGTTTCATTTTTAAATTTCCTAATGGCTGGTTGGCAGCCCAAAAGTCTCTAATAGGAAAAAGGGGGGAAATTCATAAAAGGCATCGTGAAATGTATTCCATTTTTAACTTATTCAACTTGGTTCTTTCTCTTTCTTGCAGGAATGACACCAAGGAAGATGTATTTGTACACCAGGTGGGTGCTTGTGTGGATATTTATGCTTCTGACTTAAGGCTTTTGAGAAGAAAGGGGAGGGTGTCTTCTCAACTAATTCATTTAATTCCCATAGGAAGAGTGATAGGATGCTTAAATGTACACATTGAAACATATTGGCAGTTTACTTAAGATAGGTGTTTCAAATTGTTATTTTGTTAATAGTTACAGCTTTTTAAAATAGAATCACTCAAGTCATTACACTAAATTTTTAAATCTAATTTTAGATGAGCAAAAAAACCCTCCATTAATCTAAACTTAAAGATGTTTTCAAATGCTATTAGGTTTAACTGTGGTAAGGACAGATTACAGTAATCGTGGGAGAAGTAGGACAGAGCTGCAAGACATTAACTTGAAATGAATGCTAGAAAACTAGCAGAGTAACATCCGTTCTTCTGCTTATTCTAAAGCACTTTGAATGGGTAAGATATGTTTTTACCTTTGGAGAAATTTGGCTGGCTTGGGTTTTTTGAAATCCTCGCTAGTTTAAGGCTAAATGAAGAGGCAGTATGGCAAAATTGGTAATCACTCAAATAATTTTTAGGTTTTCTTTAGTATTTTGAGCTGAAAGAACTAACAGGGTAGGTTTTACATGCTGAACTTTCTCAGGTACCATTTAAGGAAAATATTTCAGAGAATACTTGAGCATTAAGGACTATTGTTAAGCCACTACCCAGTGAATAGTAATATCTCAATATCATACATATATCAAATACTCCATTGGATTTGAATATCCTCCTGGGTATTCTGCCTGTTCAAAGGAATATGCAGATTTGGGAACAAAAAAACAGCAAGACTTGTTAGAAACACTAACGGGATTGGGGAGGGGTTAAAGATGCTGATTGAAAGGAGGGTTGGGGGTTTAATTATCCACGCTTCTGCTATCCCCTATGACTGCAAGTAACTTAGAGTTGGTTAAATATGAAAGGTACGAAAACTATGTGACAGTTTAGATGACAGATGAGATCAAGTTTTTGGCTGAATGAGTGTCACCCACTTTTACTGACCCACAAATGTCACCAAATATGCTCTCCTTTTTATTTTGGAAGTGGTTTCAACATTGACTTGTTTCTTGGGACTTTGGCTGCTCAGGTCTTAGGGATGTACTATCAAGGAGACTGCAGTTCTGGGCAACTTAGCTTAATTGGCTTCAGATAGTTGGTTGTCCTGCCTCCTTTGGAATGGAAACGCATGAGTGATCCTGTAATGGTATCGCTGTGATGTAGTTGAATTAACATGGGATTTGGGGTCCGGGGACCTGGATTTAGAAAAGTCTACACTCTGCCACTTATTATCTGTGTGACCTTGGGCAAGTCACCTAACCTTTTAAAGCCTGTAAAAAAATAATTTTAAAAAAAGGAATAATACCACCTCATATCATTTGTCATAATGAGAGTGAATAGGTAATATGCAAAAGAACTTTATAGAAGTATTACCCACAAATGTGAGGTGCTATTCTTCCCCCTTCTACTTTGTCATAGCAGTTTGGAGAAAAAATAAATGTGAGATTTATTGTATTGTGGGGCGTTAATAACCAGCTGTCCCATGCAGTCAGATAATATAAAAAGTGGCATAGTTAATAACATTTGAATTACATTCCATTGAAGTATTATCACAGGTTGGAAGGGATTTTGGTTGATATTTGTAATTGAGTTTGATATGGTAACACAGGGACAAAGTTGGTTTGGTCAACTTTGAAGCATGCAAAACTAAACTCGCCTGTCATCTAAACTGGCCCTGTGTGGGCTAGCTTCTATTAAGTGCAGTCTTTGGGGGATAGATTGATATCCTCATTTTGTTCAAAGTAACAATGCTTTTGCTAAAAGCATTAAAATACATATATATATTGTTCTTGAGTATTAAACTACACGTTTTAGTTTGGAAAATAGTGGTAAAATGCTGGGACATTGTAAGACAGGAGTATTTTGGTTGAGGTTGGGGGTAGCATTGGTCCCTGTTTTTGTAAATTTATTGGTGGTTTGGTCTTATTTAAAGCTAATTTAAAGCTAAAATA